TACCTGCCATACCTCGTGTTTCCGCTTTAGCGGGGTGTGACTTCTAACCACCATCGTTGTTGCATATTCAGTTTCCATTGATTAAACAGATGTTGAAGACTCTTATGATCAGTAAAAATCTGACATCTGGTACCGTACAGATAATGTCTCCAAATCTTCAAAGCAAATACAACCGCCGTCAATTCCATACTATGAGTGAGGTATTGCTTTTTATGATCTTTTAGTTGTCATGAATCATAAGCAATAACCTTCATGCGCTGCATCAATACAAAACCTAGACCCAATTTTGAAGCATCTTTGTAAACGACAAAATCCTCTGAACCATCGGGTAAATATAAAACCGACATGCTACATAGTCTATCTTTCAATGTTTGGAAGACCTCGACTTGTGCATCTTTCAACACAAACTCACGTATTCTTTGTCAACCCTGTTAAAGGTGTCATGATACGAGAGAAATCATGTATGAACTTACTATAATAACCGGCAACCCAAGAAAACTTCTAATAACAAAATACTTGAATCTGAATCAAGTAAGCATAGTTCATAATCAAGAGATATAGAATCAACCTAATCTCTAAATGAACTCTATGGCACCTAAATGATAACCCGAAAGACCCCAAAATGACACGATACAAAAACTGAAAAACGCTAAAATAGTATTTCCCGCCACTTGCTAAGTTGCGTGATTAGTCGCATAAACTTCTGTTTCGTTTATATTTCCTTGTTTTTACCATATTTCTACTTGCACAATTTCCATTCCATCCAGATTTTACCAAATTCAAAAGCAACCCATTTTCATGTTTCAAATGACCAAAATAATGTTTTAATCCATAAAATAATTAAAGGAAAAACTAAAATCAATATCAAAGATCCAACTCCAAAATCAACCAACGGAAAGATTTCAAGCAAATATAACTTTTGATCAAACTCATATTTCACCAAAAATATTTCCCAAAAACTAGAAAAATCAAACCCTAGCTTAAGGAAATCAAAGAAAAAAAGTTCTTACCTTAAAACCCTAAAAGATGATGAACCTCAAGCCCAAAAACTTCACCTTAATAAGCTTTCTTCTCATTCCAACAACTTCTCCCAAAGTTCTTACTAACACTATCTAAAAAAAGTTGCAAGTCACATCATGTAAGAATAAGAGAGTAGTTGACTCCTTTTATATGGGTTCAGAATTTCAGACAAAACTTTCTAATATAAAGACTCAACACTTTCAGCCTTTGGGATTCTAAATATTCTAAAAACATATAATCCTAGGGTATTACAATAATGGTGGCAACAATGGTGATGATGGTTAGTGGTGGTGATAGTGGTGGCATGGACAATGTTGGTGGTGGTGTTGGCGACAATGGTGATGATCATGGTTTTAAAAATTGTATGAGGCGTGCGCCTTGAGACGATAGAAAAAAGATTTAAGGCGCCGCCTCACAAGCCCAAGATAAGGCACAAGCTTTAGTTGACTGAGGCATTGACTTCGGTTGTGAGACGGTGGGCGATGAGGAGGCGTACTCATAGTCAAAACACTTTCTCAAGTCAAAGAAGTACAACTGCTATATATCTACTTCTCTAACAAATCTCTCAATACTGCTCCATTCGACAATGTACAACGTCTCCTCCTCTCTCAATAGACCTCAACCCTCTCTGTTTAACACACACACACACACATATATATATATATATATATA